GGCAGGAGAGCTTAAGTATCAATTGTTCTTTAACAAACATCATCCTGAGACTATTATCCTGCCTGCTCCTTCTTTGTTTAATTTTGTAGGACCCTACCTCGTTACGTGGGCTGTCGTACAAGCTTACAAGAATCCTGCACCAGCCCTAGAATAGGAACCACAAGATGAGCCTCCATGACAATCTGTTTATTCTTGGGATCCAGAGATGACTGTCAGCCAGTGGCAGTCAGAGTCTTCTTCTTCATCACAGTATGATCCTATTCCTCCTCATCACAGTACGACCCCAACAACTATTATTATGGATATCCGCCAGGCCAGCCGTGGCCATAGACCAACTTAGGCCAAAAGCCTAAGCTTGGGGGAGTGCGTATCTCTCACCAACATTACATTTATGTTCACACACACTCATTGCTAGATGTCGATGCTCATACTTTTTCACTGTAATATCCATGCTAGTTTATTTTCTTTTTCCTGTTTTCTTCTTGTGTGTTTGTTAAACCTTAAGAAAAACCAAAAAAATAGTAGTAGTTTATTTTTCTGCTGTAGTAGTAATAATTAAAAAGAAAACCCAAAAATATTTCCCGTTCTTCTTTTGCTTGTTGGGAGCTTTCCCGTGTAAATAGTTTTATTTCTTTTCTTTTCTTTGAAGTCAATAGGAGAAGACCATAATTAAATTGTTGAAGTGGCTCTTATATGCATTATTGTTGATTTAACCAAGAGCCCATATTGCCTTATCTTCTCCTGTTTATTGAATGCTCGCAGATTCCAGCTTAGTCCAATGCACGTGCACTCTTATTATTATTCACACCGTTCGGTCGTGCAAGTGAAAGGCAATTATGATGATATATGATGGACTGACTGAGATGAGAAAAGCTGGTATGAACTCGACCTCTTTTGTTTTTGTAAATATGATGAGTCCCTCGTTCTTGATTCAACTTATTATGAATAAACATGTTTGCAATGACAATTAGAGATCATAGTTGCTTGTGCCATGCTTGATTAGGTATGAGTTATAATGATTTACCTTGTATGCCAACATGCTATCGAGATGATTATGATGTGGTATGCTGGGGTGGTATCCTCCTTTGAATGATTTAAGTGACTTGACTTGGCACATGTTCATGCATGTAGTTGAAACAAATCAACATAGCCTTCACGATATTTATGTTCATGGTGGATTATATCCTACTCATGCTTGCATCCAATATTTATTAATTTTAATGCATGTACATGGCTATTGTCGCTCTCTAGTTGGTCGCTTCCAAGTCTTTTGCTAGCCTTCACTTGTACTAAGCGGGAATACTGCTTGAGCATCCAATCCCTTAAACCCCAAAGTTATTCCAGATGAGTCCACCATACCTTCCTATATGCGGTATCTACTTGCCGTTCCAAGTAAATTTGTATGTGCCAAACTCTAAACCTTCAAATAAACATTCTATTTTGTATGCTCGAATAGCTCATGTATCAACCAAGGCTATCCTTATCTTCTGTGTTAGGCGGGTTATTCTCAAGAGGAGTGGACTCCGCTCCTCCACTCACGAGAAAATGGCTGGTCACCGGGATGCTCAGTCCCATGCTTTATGCAAACTAAATCCAAATTAATTGCAAACAAAACTCCCCCTGGGACCTGATGTATGTTGGAGGCACTCGTTGTTTCGAGCAAACCATGGATTCATGCTTGTTGGTGGAGGGGAGTATAAACTTTACCATTCTGTTTGGGAACCTCCTATAATGTGTTTAGCATGGAAGATATCGCCATCTCTTAGTTGTTACGTTGACAATGAAAGTATACCGCTCAAAATACAATTTATCTCTATTTCAAAACCGAGCTCTGACACCTCTACAAATCCCTGCTTCCCTCTGCGAAGGGCCTATCCATTTACTTTTATGTTGAGTTATCACCCTCTTATTAAAAAGCACTAGCTGGAGAGCACAGCCGTCATTTGCATTCATCACTGTTAATTTATATTGGGTATGACTATGATTGGATCACTTTTACCATGAATTACAATGTCTAGTCAGTCCTTGATCTTTAAAGGTGCTCTGCATTTATGTTTTGCAGTCTCAGAAAGGGCTAGCGAGATACCATCTTGTTATATCATATTATGATTGTTTTGAGAAAGTGTTGTCATCCGAGATTTATTATTATGACTTGCTAGTTGATTATGCTATTGATATGAGTAATTATGAGACCTGAGAATTATTGCAAATGTGGTTAGTTATGATCTATGCTGAAAACTTGAATGCTGGCTTGACATAGTTACAACAACAAGAGCAAACAGAGTTTGTAAAAGTTTTTCTTTCTTTCTTTCAGTTTGTCAACTGAATTGCTTGAGGACAAGCAAGGGTTTAAGCTTGGGGGAGTTGATACATCTCCGTTGTATCTACTTTTCCAAACACCTTTGCCCTTGTTTTGGACTCTAACTTGTATGATTTGAATGGAACTAACCCGGACTGATGCTGTTTTCAGCAGAATTGCCATGGTGTTGTTTTATGTGCAGAAAACAAATATTCTCGGAATGACCTGAAACTCCACGGAACATCTTAGAAAAAATAATAAAAAATCCTCGCCAAAGATGAAGACCAGGGGGGCCACACCCTTCTCACGAGGGTGGGCCCCTCCCCCTAGGGCGCGCCCCCTACCTCATGGGCCCCCTGAATGCCCTCTGACGCCAACTCCAACTCTATATATTTGCTTTCGGAGAGAAAAAAATTAGGGAGAAGAAATCATCGCATTTTACGATACGGAGCCGCTGCCAAGCCCTAAAACCTCTCGGGAGGGCTGGTCTGGAGTCCGTTCAGGGATCCGGAGAGGGGGATTCGTCGCCGTCGTCATCATCAACCATCCTCCATCACCAATTTCATGATGCTCACCGACGTGCGTGAGTAATTCCATCGTAGGCTTGCTGGACGATGATGGGTTGGATGAGATTTATCATGTAATCGAGTTAGTTTTGTTAGGGTTTGATCCCTAGTATCCATTATGTTCTGAGATTGATGTTGCTATGACTTTGCTATGCTTAATGCTTGTCACTAGGGCCCGAGTGCCATGATTTCAGATCTGAACCTATTATGTTTTCATGAATATATGTGAGTTCTTGATCCTATCTTGCAAGTCTATAGTCACCTACTGTGTATTATGATCCGGCAACCCCGAAGTGACAATAATCGGGACCACTCCCGGTAATGACCATAGTTTGAGGAGTTCATGTATTCACTATGTGCTAATGCTCTGTTCCGGTTCTCTATTAAAAGGAGGCCTTAATATCCCTTAGTTTCCAATAGGACCCCGCTGCCACGGGAGGGTAGGACAAAAGATGTCATGCAAGTTCTTTTCCATAAGCACGTATGACTATATACGGAATACATGCCTACATTACATTGATGAATTGGAGCTAGTTCTGTGTCACCCTATGTTATGACTGTTACATGATGAACCGCATCCGGCATAATTATCCATCACTGATCCGGTGCCTACGAGTTTTCCATATACTAGTTCTCGCTTATTTACTTTCCCGCTACTATTGTTACAATCACTACAAAATACCAAAAACATTACTTTTGCTGTCTTTACTTTTGTTGCCGCTACCACCACTATCATATTACTTTGCTACTAAACACTTTGCTACAGATACTAAGTTTCCAGGTGTGGTTGAATTGACAACTCAGTTGCTAATACTTGAGAATATTCTTTGGCTCCCCTTGTGTCGAATCAATAAATGTGGGTTGAATACTCTACCCTCAAAAGCTGTTGCGATCCCCTATACTTGTGGGTTATCAACCTTACATTGTGAAATTTTATCAAGAAACAAATACACCTTATATAAAGGAAAGGTGGGAGTAGAAAAGATTGATGTTATCATTAAGCTTACAAATAGGGTTGGTATTTCACCTATAGGGATTGTAAGAGATGCTGAAATTCTTTATGCTAAGATTAAGTATCCTACTGATTTCTTAGTACTTGGAACTCCTCAAGATAACTTGTTTCCCATAACCTTTGATAGATCCTTCTTAAATACTGCTTGTGATGTTATTGATTATAAAAAGTTGTTAAGTTTGGACAAGAATCTCGTGATTTCATTTTTTCTAAGTTCACTAAACATCATCATCATACATATTTACCTCTTGAGGATTTGTTTGCCAGCAATTTCACGTTGCATTACGTGCTAGCATTGTGCTGTGTTAATGGTATGTATTTACATAATTTTGAATCTATTAGTTTTAGTAAAATGATGTATGTTTTACTAATATTCATGGTTGTTAATGTGTGTGCTGGCTATGATCCAGGGATAGCACAGAAAGCATAGAAATTCGGATCCTATAAGACCTGGGTCACTACAGCCCTGACCGTTCCCTTGTAAACAAGACAAGGTAGATCTACTATTGATGATCTCGATCGCCATCGGAGTAGGAAAACCCCTAATCGATACAATTGGTCAAAATTCCCATAGCCCATGGCGCTCTCGTGAACAAATTGGCCTACCCTTCTGTTTTTGGCAGATGATTCCTTCTGGTCGACTGGCCGAAGCTTCGACTGGTCGACTCGCTCATCTCGTGCAATGCTAACACAAGAGGACATGTCATCCCACATGGCCCCCACAGACCTCCCTACTTCCTCCTTGTCCTTTCAGCGCAGTTGTTGGCCACACAATCGAGACACACATTATGTTCCCTTCTTCTTCCGCCCTCGCCATGCAGCTGCTCCTGCTCATCTTTTTTTTCTCGGACACCATTGCTCTGGAGCTGCTGCATGGGGCGTGCTCCCCCACGAAGCCGCATCGTCGTGTGTGTGCATTGTTGCGGTGAAGAGAGTCAAAAAAGCTGCTACGAGACCCGCAAGCCATAATGCGCCATCGCCGTCGTTTGCTGGAACCAAAGCTGCGACCGACAAGATTACCGACCATGAGGACTACAACGGCGACGACAACCCCTGTTGCAATCGGCCGGCAAAAAAGCTGCAACCGGCGTCATGGAAGTTGCAAGAGCGTGAAGGCGAGATCATGGCTCGTGCGAGATGCTGCAACCGGCTGTGCAAAAGCTTCAACCATCGGTCGCAGAAGCTACGATGGCGGCGATGAGGCAAAGAGACCCTGCTGGAATTAGGCAACGAGTATGCTGGAATCAAAGATTTTTTTTGCTAAACCATGACTGGAATTTGTTGCGACCTGACGAACACGACCAAGCTTCCATGGCGACCTCGAAGATGTTTTTGCTGCAACCGGCCGAAGCCAGAGCTGGAACCACCAGTCGGGTTTGCTGCAACCAACTGGAGTGGTATTTTGTGGCAACGATGGAGGAGTGGAGTCCTAATTGTTGCTACTGATGCCTGATTTTTTTGGAATCAACAAACCCTGTGCTGCAACCGCCGGCAAGCACGGGGGCGATGCTTCGACTCTACGAGGGTGACGACGCGGCGAGCGATGGCGAGCCGGCGTGATTCGAGAGTTGGTCGGCGTGCATCCATGGCCGGTTCAGCGGCGCTCGCCATCGTTCTCTTCCGGCCACGGGCGTGCACGTTGACTCGGGTTTTTAGCAAGTGAGGAAGACGCACCGCGTGAGGAAGGAGATAGGGGGTCCAACGGTGCCAGGGGTGGGGCAATTGGATGCACGCGTGGTGACAGGCCGGAATTTGGGTTGGTCGACCGACGTCTAGCGTCGTCCTTTGTTTTATTGAGCAGAACCCAAATCGGGGCGCCCCTATGTCTCGCTTTAAGCGAGCACTGGGGGGGGGGAGCCCAGATGGGTCGGCCCAGGCGCGTGGGAGGGTACAACCTGTTTTCTTCTGTTTTGTTAACTTGGTTTTTGCTTTATTTTTGTACTTTTATTTATACTTTAAAATATTCTACATATATATACAAAAAACACTCTCTAAAAACACATTTGAAAAATGTTGAACAAGTGTTTGAAAAATGTTGAATAAGTACTAAAAAATGTTGAACAAGTATTTGAAAAATGTTGAATAATTATTAAAATGTTGAACAAGTATTTATAAAATGTTGAATAAGCATTTGGACAATGTTGAACGTCTATACAAAAAATGTTTAGCCTTATTTTTTTTTGACATATACAAAAATGTAGAGTGAAAACGAAAACAGACATTAAAAAAGAAAATCCAAAATGGAGAAGAAAAAAGAAAGCCAAATAAAAATAGAGGAAGAAAAGAAAACTAAAGAAAGACAACAAAGAAGGAAAGAAATGAAAAAAACAATGAAAAGAGAGAAAAAATAGAGGAAACACAAAAAAAACTGGAAATAAAAGCGGACAATAGACCATGAGAAACGCGGCTTGTTTCGTGTTAAGAAAAGGACACCGACTTTCTCCTCCTTTGCAGTTCATTAACCGCACGCGAATGGGCCGGCCAAATTAGTTGAGCCCTGCAGCGAGACGTTCCCCCTGTGCTCGCTTAAGGCGATAAATAGTCGCTGCGCCCAAATTGACGCACACTGGTTGAGAGTACCGGCTTATTGGCCCTCAAATCGGATCAGCCCACAGAGATCACTTTCTTTGATCGTTGAACCCTAAATAAACCCTGGCCAGAGTCTTCCTGGTTTTCCATCCCAAAATGCGGCACTTCTCCTCCCTCCCGCGGGTGCTCCGCCGGAGCGCCGCCCCAAAACCCAACCGGCGGAGCCCCGCCCCGAAACCTCACCCTCCCTCGCCGTCCCCCGGTCCGGTTCCTGATGCTCAGGCGCCCGTCGCCCCTGCGCCGATGCCGACGAGGCCATGGGAGGAGGCCCTGGACGTAGCACAACGCGCGTTCTGCCTGCCCCTCGCCGGCCGCGTCCTCGCCGCCGCAGGCACTGGAAACGCCGCTGTATCCCCTGTTGGAGTCCACGCCGCGCTCTCCCTCGCGGCCTCCGGCGCGCGTGGTGCGACGCGGAGGCAGTTGCTCGGTACGTTGGGCTGCGGTGGCGGCGGCAAGGGCGCAGCGGCTGACGCGGCCAATGTGGCGTCGCGTGTGGTCAAGCGCGTGCTCAAGGACCGCGCGAAGTCTGGTGGACCACGGCTCGCGTTCGCCTCTGGCGTGTGGGCCGACGCATCAACGACGCTCTCGCCGGAGTTCGTCGAGACCGCTGGTGGCCTGTACTGCTCAGCGGCCAAGACGGTCGATTTCAAGAGCACGGTACGTGTTATGGCTCCTGTCTCACATCAATTGCATGGTGATTGTAGTTACGGAGTATGTTCTTCAGCTGTTCTAAGTATGCTTGTGCCATTAGTTAGCGGCACTGTGGCAGTGAAAGTTCAGAACGTCTCAACTTCGATTGTTTGAGCGTGCAGGAAACAGATATTTGTATTCATGTCATCTGATTAGTGTAGGTAATCGATACCTCCATATATGTTTGTGTTTTCTGGTTTACTGTCTTTTACTCACCTGTGCAACTACTTTGCTATAGGATCTTGTCGAAATTTCTTTGCTCTAGTAAAAATGTTAATTGAGCAAAGAGACTTATATTCCATCATGAAAGTAATAACTACACAGTTGGTTGTTACTGTAAGATCCTTTTCAAGAGTTTGTCTCGATATATTTGAGTTTGAACAGTATAAGACACTAAATTGTTTTGGAAAAAATATCAGTAAGAAACTAATCGTCTGGTGTTAACTGTACTTGAGATGCCTTGTGATTCTTATTTTGATATTTATGGAAACTATTTTCTTGATATTTGAAGCCAGAAGATGCTGCTGAGCAAATTAACTCATGGGTCAACAAGTCCACGAGACAAACCATTACCTCACTCGTTCCAGATGGATTAGTTGACCAGAATACAGGGCTTGTACTTGGCAGCGCGCTGTATTTTAAAGGCAGATGGCTGGATAAGACTGATATAGGGAAGACTGCTGAACAAAAATTCTACTGTCTGGATGGAACACATGTCCTAGTTCCTTTTGTGGAGTATGACAGAACTCGTCTTTTTGCTGCGCATGACGGATTCAAAGTTATTAAGCTTCCTTACAAGCAAGGGAATAATGAACGGAAATTTTCCATGTACATTTTCCTCCCAGATGCTCATGATGGTCTGTTTGAATTAACCAAGAAGATTTTCTCTGAACCGGCATTCTTAGAACAACATTTACCGACGGAGAAGCGCCATGTGGGTATTGGGGTGCCCAAATTCACGATATCTTTTCAGATCGACATGAAGGATTTTCTGAAAGATATGACACTTGAATTGCCATTCCGACGAGATGCAGATTTCAAAGATATGGTAAAGGAAGGTGACTCGAAGGAGCCTTTGTTTCTATCTGATGTACTTCATAAAGTGATTTTGGAAGTGAACGATGATGAAATTGAAGAAACTTCTGTGGAGAAAAGCATAGGCAAGCCTTTACCAACAGAGCACTTCACAGCCGACCACCCTTTCTTCTTTCTCATTCGGGAGGAAGTGTCTGCTACGGTTATCTTCATGGGACATGTGCTTGATCCTTCATCACAGTACTAACACCAGGTTATCACCAAATTACATGTATTTGTTGCATTATTCTAAACTTTGGTGATCTGGCTGATCTTGACTTTAGTACGACAATAGTTTGTGCACTGTGCGTGCTCCATTTCTGGTGGCATGCTGACCACCGTTACTTGCTCTGTTCAATTTAAATTAGTTATCTCCACTGTTGTGCTAAACCATGTGAAGACTACATATTTCAGTCTGTTGTGTAGAAATTTCTATCTATCCATGTGTAATTTTTTTATGAATTTGGTGGTATTGAGTGTATCCCTTTGCGAGAATGGAATTATAGCCTAGTGGTGGTTGTGGGTTGTGCAGTGGAGTCACCGTGTGTCCAGGGTTAAAATCCTGTGCAGCGGATTTAAACTTGTTAGTTAGTTCACTAATTGAATAAGCCCAGGTCTTTCGCCGCTTCTTTAAAATCCTCTGGTCTCATTTTTTTTGTTATTGAGTTGATAACTCATGAGTACTTTTACGTTCGAACTACCAGTCTTTGCACTTTACTTTTGTATCAAACTTTTCTTGAATATATTTTGCATGGATCTGTTATTTTGTTCCCATATCATCTGCCGTTTATGTGCATTTTCCTGCCAGGAAAAAGCTAGCAATGTTACGTACATAGTTACATAGTTCTTTTCATTCAGATGAATCTGTTGACGTTTTAGGAAAAATACCCCAGTAGAAATATTTTCCTTTGATGACATTTCTTTGGTATAATCACCAGTCTTGTCCCATCTTCGGTGGTGAATGAAGCATGTGAGCCCGACTCGCGCCTGCGGTACTATTCTCTCACATTGATGAAAAGAGAAGAATTTCCTTGTCAAGGTTCAGTGGAAATGAAATAAAGATATCATCATCTGACTGTTTAGGTTTTATGCGCACCACTTGCTGCCTCCGACAGTTGTCTCTGTTCTGAGAAACACAAGTAGCCCCGCAGATCGAATATGGCACTGATCAAACTAATAAAAATGTTCAAATCTGTGGGAGGCGCCCTGGAGATGATGAGTTGATCCTTTCCCAGGGAGGAAGAAAGTTTCTTCTTCAGCTCTCCCACGCTTGGCTCTCAAGGCAACGGTTGCTTCCACAGCTTCACCGATGGCTACGCTCCACTGGCAGTGTCGGTGGCTTCTTCAGGTTCTTTCTCCCTCGGTGGCCACGGCCCTCCGTCCGTGCGGCTGTGCAAACATGATCTGTGTTGTGCCCATCCGCCGGGCTGCTATTTGTCGCGCTCATCTCTTCTGTAGCGGCGACGGAGACCTGTGATGAGGTTGGTGGCCTTTCACCCTGGAAGAAGAAAAGGATGCCTCCTACGCTCTCACAAACTGCTCGCCTTTCTGGCTTTTTCTCTAACTGCTGTTTGTTCTTTCCTTGTCGTCCCTTTTTTCCCCTGCTCGCGACAATCTGCACAGCAAAAAACAATCTTATTCGTTGAAAATGAAGCCTAGTATTTCTCAAACTAATCCTCTTGCAACATCTCGTGGTCAGCTCCAGGCACATAAGCCGTGACATTTGCGCAAATCGCAACTTACACGTCTATACTTCCTCCGATCCGAATTAGTTGACGCAACCTCCATACAATGTTCATTTTAACACTACAGAATTCAGGAGAGGTGTATGTATAATTGTTGATGAGAGTCTGAAGTTTCTTGCACAGATCAAGCGTGGCTTCCTACACGGGAACGCGACGTCCGGTCTAACTCTGCTGCCGTGGCAGATGTAGCAGATGCCAATGCACATGGGTGCAAACGGAAATGCCATGTCTCCACACAAAAGGAAGGGAGATGTGTGACCACAGGTCCGTTTATTGAGCTGTTAAAGATACGCTAAACCTTCGTGTGGTACAGTAGTAGGAAATATACCTGCCACCATCACTGGCGCCAGGGGGCCAGTCTGGCCAATTTGGCGGATTGATACTTCCAATCAAGGGCGCAGCCTCGGGTGGGCTCCTTCGTGCATGCCAACCAGGAAACCCGGATGTATGGGCTGTGCCGTGGCACTGCCTGGTGCTCATTCTGAGGGAAGATGGATTCGGTACAAGCCTAGGAGGTAGTAAAAAATGGTGCCATGGGCCCCTTAACCCTAGCGCCGCAGGCCTCCTCTCGTGCCTCCCTCTGCCGCCGCTGCCGCCGGCGAGGGCCGCGGTGGTGGCGGCCCGACGCCGAAGGCACCTGGGCGGGTGTATGCGGCGAGATCTCATCTGAGGCGGCAGGGGCGGCCCTTCTTGTTGGATCCGAAGGCGGCGGCTAGGGCGGCGATCCCTTGCCGTCTGGCGGTGGCCGAAGCGCCATAAGCTGGCGGAGCGGCGGCCTTGAGATGGACGGCGGCGGTGGCAGCGCCCCATCCGACGGGGTGCTTGGTCTGCGCGGAGATGGTGGCGGCGGCGACTGCTGATCCAATGCCCGGATCGGATCCGCCACGGGGTGGCCTTCCGCCGACCGGCGGCGCGTGGAGGGACCGGTGAGGAGATGTCGGATCTCCGCCGGTTTACCGACAGCGGCGTTCGTCTTCGTGGCGAGACTCCGCTCGGTTCCAGCCAACCGCGAGATCAGGACGACGTGGCTTCCGGTGAAAATCGCGCCTGACTGCGGTCATGGCGGACGATGACGGCGTCTCGGACGTCGTTCCTTTCTCGAGGCATCGTCGTTGCAGGTCACGTCAACTTGATCGGAAGGTTCCGGGGGAAACCCTAGATCTGGGTCTATCGGATCGGACGATGACGACGTTTCGATGTCGTTCTCCCTCCTGAGGGCATTGTTTTGGAGCAAGTGTTGGCTGGAGGGGACAAGAGGCGGAGCGGCGTGGTATCTAACACGTCGACAACAGCGGGTCTCAGCGACATGGAGCAGCGGGGTCTCGCCGGCGGGTGATGATGGACGAGTGCAGGATGGTGGCGTTGTCTGGCGTCGTGGTGGCGGCGATGGCAGCTAGACCAAGCAAGGTACATGCAGTAGTATAGCACTAAAGATGGATTGGTGGCAGGTGGCTGCGGCGGCCTCATACCCGGTGAAAGATAGAGGATGTCGCCTAGAGGGGGGTGAATAGGCGCTTTAAAATAATTACGATTTAGACTTGAACAAATACGGAATAAACCTAGCGGTTAATTTGCCAAGCACAAAACCTAAAACAACTAGGCTCACCTATGTGCACCAACAACTTATGCTAAGCATGATAAGCAACTATGTGATAGCAAGAAATATGACAAAGAACAATATGGCTATCACAGAGTAAAGTGCATAAGTAAAGGGCTCGGATAAGAGATAATCGAGGCACGCGGAGACGACGATGTATCCCGAAGTTCACACCCTTGCGGATGCTAATCTTCGTTTGAAGCAGTGTGGAGGCACAATGCTCCCCAATAAGCCACTAGGGCCACCATAATCTCCTCAGACCCTCGCACAATGCAAAATGCCGTGATTTCACTAATGGACCCTTGAGGGCGGTCACCGAACCCGTACAAATGGCAACCCTTGGGGGCAGTTACCGAACCCGTACACTTTGGCAACCCTTGAGGACGGTCAACGAAACCCGTCAAATTGCTCGGGGCGATCTCCACAACCTAATTGGAGACCCCGATGCTTGCCCGGAGCTTTACACCACAATGATTAAGCTCCGAACACCACCAACCGTCTAGGGCGCCCAAGCACCCAAGAGGAACAAGCTCAAGGGCACCAAGCACCCAAGAGTAATAAGCTTCTCAACGTGTAACTTCCACGTATCACCGTGGAGAACTCAAACCGATGCACCAAATGCAATGGCAAGGGCACACGGAGTGCCCAAGTCCTTCTCTCTCAAATCCCACCGAGCAACTAATGCTAGGGAGGAAAATGAGAGGAAGAACAAGAAGGAGAACACCAAGAACTCCAAGATCTAGATCCAAAGGATTCCCCTCACATATAGGAGAAAGTGATTGGTGGAAAAGTGGATCTAGATCTCCTCTCTCTTTTCCATCAAAAACTAGCAAGAACCCATGGAGGGATTGAGAGTTAGCAAGCTTGAAGAAGGTCAACAATGGGGGAAGAACACGAGCTCAAGAGATAAGGCTCAATGGGGAAGAAGACCCCCTTTTATAGGAGCACCCGAATCCAACCGTTATGTGCTCAGTCCGCGCACGAGGGGTACTACCGCTCAGGGGAGCGGTACTACCGCCCGGGCGGTAGAACACAAAGAAAGGAGCAAAACAAAGGGCGAGGCAGAGCCGTATGAGCGGCACTACCGCTGGGGCCAGTGCTACCTCTTAAGCATTGCGTTGGTTTTCCCTTGAAGAGGAAAGGATGATGCAGTAAAGTAGCGTAAGTATTTTCCTCAGTTTTTGAGAACCAACGTATCAATCCAGTAGGAGATCATGCTCAAGTCCCACACACCTACACAAACAAATAAGAACCTCGCAACCAATGCGATAAAGGGGTTGTCAATCCCTTCATGGTCACTTACGAGAGTGAGATCTGATAGATATGATAAGATACCATTTTGATATTTTTATGATAAAGAAAAATAAAAGATGCAAAGTAAAATAAATGGCAATAGAAATAACTAAGTATTGGAAGATTAATATGATGGAAGATAGACCCGGGGGCCATAGGTTTCACTAGTGGCTTCTCTCAAGAGCATAAGTATTACGGTGGGTAAACGGATTACTGTTGAGCAATTGATAGAATTGAGCATAGTTATGAGAATATCTAGGTATGATCATGTATATAGGCATCACGTCCGAGACAAGTAGACCGAAACGATTCTGCATCTACTACTATTACTCCACACATCGACCGCTATCCAACATGCATCTAGAGTATTAAGTTCAAGAGAACAGAGTAATGCTTTAAGTAAGATGACATGATGTAGAGGGATAAACTCATGCAATATGATATAAACCCCATCTTTTTATCCTCGATGGCAACAATACAGTACGTATCGGTTCCCTTTCTGTCACTGGGATCGAACACCGCAAGATTGAACCCAAAGCTAAGCACTTCTCCCATTGTAAGAAAGATCAATCT